TTATCCTGTATATATTTCTTATCTAAAAGACCTGTACCCACCTTCCCTTCAGATCTTGGTGTAAGAGATGTGACCTGTATAAATCCATCTCTCTAATTTTTTTCTTTGAAAGTATGTATTATTTCTACTCATTTTCTGTTTTGTTTAGTCTTTATTTAAATAAAATTTAAAAAAGAAAGTTGCAACCACTCCTTGGTACACAGGTTGAACAAATACCATAATATTCAATGGCAAACACAACACTGGGACATTGGGATGGTGTCATCCATGAATTGGGGTGACTTGGTGCAGTGTCAAGCAGTGAAAGAACATTGAACAGGATATCTTTCTGCAAACAATATTTCTCTCCGAGACATGGTGGTGGAAACACCAATCCTGGAAAAATTGCCTGTGTAACCCAGGCCTTAGAGTTACTGCTCCACACAACAGGCAGAGCGCCTTTGCGTACAATTTTGAGGGCTCTTGTGTTCTGTTTGGAAGCACCAGAATCATTGCCACCAAGAAACAAAGTCTGTCTTTTGCTTCTTTGAAGCCTCACATCATCTATTTCTCTTTACTGACGTAGCTTCTTTCTGGCCTCCTTCCAGCACAGTCCTGTCAGCGTCAATAGACACCTTCATCTGAGTGTCACAGTGAACTCTCATGAGTCTATGGCACCTATGCGTACAGCCTCACCACTTTCCTTTTCCATTGCGAAGCTTTGCTGGAGCCTTTAATCTGTGAAGCCACCTGTGGCTGGCAGTGAATGACGCATTCTGTTCACTCTTATTTTCAAGTTTTCAGACAGGTTTTTAGCTTCTTCTCAAATAAGCATTAAGCTGAGTTAGACTCAATGCTGATGCTAATCTTGCATTTATTCAGGGAGAATTTTCTCCATGTCTCACTGTACCGTGCTTTTGTGTTTTGAATATTTTTGTTGATTTCACTGGTGCAGCAGACTTCAAATGTTCACAGTGTCATTCTTTAGAACTGTGTTGGTGGTTGAGCAATTCATGTTTTAGAATGAGCAACATTTACCATGTTTTGCCTCAGTCAAATCTCCATTATGTTCCCTTTGGTTTTTGTAGTTATTGCTTTGCACTTCCAAGAAGTTCCCTCCACATCAGCACTGCTTTTCCTTTTTCTTCTGGATGGGCTGAACTCTGAGCGCTATATTACTGTGCACGACCACACTGTATAGTAAACACACAGCAGCACAACCATGACAATGTCTGGCAGGCATGGAGCTACTTCCACAATTTGTTTTGTGAATGTTCATAATGCAGATTCATTTGTATCTGCAGAAGTGTGCAGCTCAAGTCCTTTCAGATGGGGAGTGCACACAAACAACTTGGAAAGTTCCAGGTAGTAACTACATCAGCAGATGTTAGAGGGATTAAAAGTACAGGTATCAGAAATTTTCAAGAACATTTTTCTCACTTCTGGAAAATGTACATCTTATTATATCGTGCCCATTCTGTCATCATTTTTCTTGATTGTGTAATCTGGCAGGGGCCCTGGAATTTCTTGTTAATGTGTTGAACATCTCTTATGCAACCATGACTATAGAGCCAAACAACAAGTGTGCTTTGTGTTTCAGGATCTGGATAACGGCTTTCTCTAAAATATTGATTATATTTCATGGATAATGATCAGCAAAAACACAGGAGTCCTGTGAGTGTACTGATGCAGGCTCTGAATTTAATATTTTAATAATCAAGAACAAGAAGTAGCAGTAGTGAGGAATTCAGGGTGGTGCAGATGGCTAGCAAGGTGTGACCATTTGATCTGAGTAAGTACCTTTCCAGATTCCTGCATGAACAAGTTTGTGTCTCTTCCCAGGAAGCTCGGTATTAATAGCTGAGGACAAGGAAAGCCCTAGATAGAATTCCATTCCATGGTCTTACACTGAAGAGTCAATTCCTGGCCATGGGATTGGGAAATCCATCCTCAGAGGTCATACCCAGATGGTGGCCTCTAGAAAGATAATTTTCCCTACCAGGTCTTCAGCTGAGCCAGGTTCTAGCCAGCCTGGTTTTTCCAGTGTTGTGCCCAGCTCGATTATGTTCCATAGGCATCATTTAATCTGCAAGCTGGGGTCTTCTGTTAACCTGCATGATTTAATGTGGCCATGTCTGAGTGAACTCAGCTTCCAGCCTGAAAGACTGGTTTAGAGGGCTGGACTTAAATGTTCTAGCCTGACTGCCTACTGGTTAATTCTGCAAGTCCAGCTCTCAGACACCTGGCCTTGTCTTTCCCAGATGGTACCTTTTCATGGTCTCCTGAAAACCTTCCCTTTGTATTTTGACTCATTCAGAGTGGGCACAGTTTGGTAACTTCCCCTCTATACACCTGTGGCATTTCTAGGTTTCTCATGGATATCACTGAATCCAAGGCCACAACTATGAAGCCTTGGTGTGTCTCCTCTGACTCGGGCTCACAAGCAATGCAGACATAACCATATCTGTTCTGTCCCTCATAACTCTCTACTTTGATTTTTAAAACCACATACCAATTTAAGACCCAAAGTGAGACCTGTCTGTGAATGTCTCTAGGGGTATATCACAGAGCAACGTCTAGTTCATAAGTGAGTGGGATTCCTCTGTCTCCTGATTCCTGGCTCATCGTTCACTTCCTGAAAACAGTGCTCTGCTCCTTAGGGGTTGTAGAAGAGAAGTGAACAAGTAAGAGCTCTGCTGCAGTGCTTGGAGTGGATGTTCTCATGGAGCTCAGGTCACTACCACCCATTGTCCTGTTCTGGAAGATGTCAGTTTCTTGTGGCCCTGTGTGCCCCGGATGACCACAGAGCATCACTTCAAATGAGCAAGTGAGCAGGAGCTGTGTGAGAGTTAGAACCATCCTTCCCTGGATTCTGATTGGAGGGGAGGAGCCCTGGTCAAATCAAAATGTAGGCAAGCTCTTAAAAATGAGTCAATCAGGGCTGGTGATATAGGTCAGTGGTACGGTATCTGCCTGGCAAGCACAAAATGCTGAGTTCGATTCCCGTATCAAAAGAAAAAGTAAAAGCAGTTGGGTGATGATTGCTGCATCTCTAACTTCCTTAGGCCAAGCATGTAAATCACCACCACTGCTTCTCAGCTCAAGTGGACAAAAGCAATGAGTCTGACCAAATAGCATGTCTGTCTGAAACTAGCAGGTGCTGGTATAGGTAGCTGAGTTTTAGCTTTATTCTAGCTTTACAGAGGAAGGGTACTCTGCTGAGAATGGCTGGGGTGAAACAGGAATTTCCTTGTCTCTTGTATCTCTGTTTTCCTTTCTTTCTCTTTCTCACAATAAAAAAGTTCTCATACCACCCACTTATGATCTTGCATCCCTATCTTCTTCAGAGTTTAATCTTTAAATCCTTTTCTTTGCACCAGAAAATTCACTCTGCTGTGATTTTTAGAGCCATAATGGGAACTCACCCCTGGGGACCCTGGGAAACATACTGAGTGCTGGAAGGTGGTGGTGGGGGGGAGGACTCACCCAACATTTCACCGGATTGGGGATCCCTAGCAGCTCTGTGGTTGTTTGGAATGGAGATTCTAAAGGACGCATATTGACTTTTGTCCTGACTATGAGGTTTGGTTATTAGAAGGCCCCAAGCTTAGTTATCACCCCTGGACCATCATGTGACTTTTTTGTCTCATCAGAAGAGACTGAGATACAAAATAATTGGGGCCAGGATAATAGAATGGTTTATTTTACTTGGAAGACACAGCACCTCCTGTTTCAGGCCTTATCTTAGAGAAAGTTTTTGTTGTCTAGAAAAATTCTAGTGTAATAACATTGAGAATGTAAGCACTATGTGACCCACGACTCAATAGAGCCCAGAATACTTTTCAGGTTACAACTGTAAACTTCATACATCATTTCTGAATATATAACATGAACCCTGTTTAGACATTTAAACCTCCTACTCATCAAAGGAATTACAGTGTTTCCAGCAATTCAGATCACATCTTCATGGCTTGGAGTGAGAATAGTTGGAAAAGCAGTATTATCTTGTACAAGAATAAAAGTAGAGCTTGGGCCTGCACCAATCTTTACCAAAGGTTGAGCAGTACACCCAGCCTTGCAGCGAATATCACCTTGGGTGGGAACATTTTTCCTGTGCCAGACTAGTGAACCTTACTTTGTTTGCAGCGGTATATGTGTCCTGTTGTGTCTGGCCAGCTACACTGTCACCACAGACACTGGGACAGGGCCCTTCTGTTGTGACACCAAAGGGACGCATGTTGTTAACTGACCCAAGCTGGCTGCTAGGAGCACACTGCTAGCCATGGGAGACAAATGCCCAAAACTAAACCTGATCTTTGGGTGTCTGCAAGAGCTGCTCCATCCCATCCACTCTGTCTGTTTCATAAAATGCAGCATAAGTAGCTCTATCAACAAGAGTAGCAGAGACCATACAGACACCTACACACATGTCTGTGTCATGTTGGGGCTAAGTTGGGCTCAGGGCTCTGCTCCCTGGGACCTAGAACTGGTCCATGGTGTTTGGTGCTTGTTTCTCTGGGTATGCTTCCGCTTTGAGATGCCATAACTACATTTATTCCCCTATTTCCCAAACTTCTGACTGATCTATTTGTCATTCTGTATGCAAAGGAGTGATTGGATGAATAAAACAAATAGCTTACAATAAAGTCAAAGTGTCCCTGAGAGAGTTTCTGAGCATTCTTGAAACACAAATAGCTTCTTGTTTTTCCTTTTCTTCCCATTGCTCTTCTAACTTCATTTTTCCATTCTCTCTATCATTTCTGCTTTGCTTCCATCACCACTATGATTCTTGTTTGATGAATGTCAAGGTGATCCCAAAGCATAGCTGACTGGTGATTTATAAAAAAACAAGAAGATGGAGAGGCACGTGAATAATTAGACTTTTTCATGTGTCTTTTCATCTCATGCATGTGGCCCATGTCTTGTGTCATTAGCCAAAAGTGTTTAGTACCAAAATGAGGATTTCTGCAAAGTTCAAACTATTCATGTAAATCCACCTTTGGTATCTCCTCTTGTTGTAGACTTACATCAGGACAATCTGGTTGCTGGATATAAATGGCAAGACACAGGGATGTGTGTATGTGATCTTCTGGTCTATTCCATCTCTCCTACTGAAGAAATTGCTAACACTGCCTTGTGAGTACTTTGGCTTCTCCCTTTCCCCAACTCCTGTGCTCCGTGGAAAAGCCATGCCACCTGGAAGCTCAGGGGAGGCACAGCATGTTGTGAGCTTTCTTGACTTTTCCCACCACATCTCCTCAATTGGGCTGCATAGGACAGCCATGCTAGGCCTCCGTATGCTTTACCAGACTCATCAAGTTTGTGGCATGTTGGGAGGAAGCATGAAGATGGGTGAATCTTTATGGTTATAAGAGTTAGAAATGAATTTTCCAGTTACTAGCAATCATTTTCATTCATTGCCTTAATTTTTTCTAACAAAATTGGGACCAAAATACAGCCCTGTCCACAGAGCAGAGCCTGAGGAGGAGCTGCACTTGGCTCTGGGGAGCTGAGGGCTGTAAGGGCAAAGTCTGAGCTTTAGATGCTGAAAACAAAAATTGAACCTCAGTATAGAGGGAGAAGCGGGATCAATACACCCTGCCTCCTGAGGCTCTCTGTCTTATTTTTCTGCAGAATCCTGAGCTGTGCTCTCAAGTGAGAGATGATGTGGCCACCAGGACATGAATGTGGGAGACCTGAGGGCAAGGTACTCACTGGGCTTGCTTTGGGTGGCCCTCTGAGGGCTGATGCTCCTGGGGGGGGTTTCTCCTCCTCTGCATCCATGGAGTCCACCTGTGTGTATACCTCCTCGCTGTGCAAAGCAGCCCCAGATACTGTGGCTGACATCTTGGGTCACAGCCTTGTGTATCTGTGGAGACAGGGGCTGGGCTATTCATATGGGGGGATCCCAATGCTAGAACTTGATGTAGTGACTTCCAAGTTGCCAGCGGGAAGTAATTGTCCTTTCTTAGGCAGCTTAACCCTTTCTGCCCCATCTGAGAAGACAGTGAGACCAACAATGTAGGAACAGTCTGAGTTGCTCCAGTGTGGTGCTTGCACATCAAGCTTGGTCCAAAATGATAGCTATATTGTCCCCATGGGATTCACACCATAAGACTATAGAGATGTTTCCAGAATTAAAATTCAGGCTTAGTTTGAGAATTTTTTCCCATCAATGTGGAGAAATTCAAATGTGCCTGTAGCCTGTGTTTTAGCCAAGGTAATAACAAAGAATCCTCTGTCCTAAATAGGGACCCCTCATTCCTCTGAAGCTGTGTGTGAAGAACAGGGAGACATAATGAGACTCTTGTGCAAAATTTTTCAGGGAGGTTTAGGATAAACCAAAGAGCATCACATGAGTATTTGTACCAAGAACTGAGTACTGTGGGTACAGTAATCCTGCACCCCAAGAGGAAATGTGGAAAGCTGAGTCTTAAAGGATTCCTGTTTCCACGTGTTATTCTATGAGGTTCAGGAAAGGTGACACTGTTGGCTTATGCTGAAGCCTCATGCCACCATAAGCTCTCAATTCTATGGTATTTATGGACTACTCATTAATCCTAGTGCGAACACAACTGTCTTTTAGGAATCCAGTTATGAGATATATGGTGAAATGTCAAAATAACTTCCCTCCTCTCTGAGGATGTAAAATTACAGTGGAATGGAAGTTATCTGAAGGAGCACTGATAAGTCCTGCAGATCCTAGAGAGCTATAAAAAGGGCAGTGATGCCTCATAAGTCTCTTTGCTGCTGTTCCATGACAAGGAAGTACATGTCTTCAGATTGGTTTTGAAGACATACAGCCCCTACATGCCCAAAGGGAACCAGGCATTTGCCAGGCAGGCAGAGTGCAATGCTCAGGGCTTATGAGCAGGAAGGTGGGGCCCAGGTTACTCCTTCTCCAGTCCTGACATCTAAGAGGTTGCTGGAGAATGGGGCTTGGGCTGCATCACCAACGTTGCTGTGGGTCTGTGTATGCAGAGCAGTCCAGGGCTTTATAGACCTGTGGGAGCCGGTGGGATTTCAGACTCACACTACCTGAACAGAAGTGGAGAGCAGGCCAGGAGCACCTGTCTGCAGGGGGGTGCTGCACCTGGGGCCTCTCCGTGCTCTTTCACACTTGCTGTTGTACAAGGCATTGAATAGCCCAAGATTTGTGACAGGTTGCACCAACACCTGTTTATCATCATTGAGGTCTGAGTTTTCCTCCTGAGAGTCAGACTTTCAATTTGTAGCCATGCTCTGTGGTTGACTGACTCTGGGTATGAAAAGGAAAGATCTTTGGCTTCCAACTCTGTGAAAAACACCACAATATTCAGAAGACAGGGTCCCTGAGGGGTCTAAATATCTGGCCCCATGGGGTAGGACTTAGTGTCCAGGTAGCTTGGGCCTGCCTCTCCATCTGCACTGTGGGTGTGGGAGGCTAAGGTTCTACTGTTGGTGTCTCAGGCTGACACTGACTCTGCACTGGTATCCTAAAGAGAGGCCGAGGTCTACCTGGGCCTAGAGCTTTTTGCAGCAGTGGTCTAACTTCTTCAGTCTCCTCATTGTAATAGCCTAAGTATGATTCATGGATAGACAAATCTGAACAGCACTGTGAGAGGTATTTATGTCCTAGGTAATAATATACAGTCAGTGACTTGGGACTGTACCAATTCACTGGGCAAGCATATCTGGATCTTTCTTGTTCTGTCACCTCAAATAATCACAAGAATTCAGCTTCCTTCTCTTTGGGGGCCTGTGAGTATTTGTTCATGTACCTAATGCATGTAACTGAAGGTTTCTGAGTCAGTGGTGATTCTGACTCAGCCACTTGGATTCAATTACATATAGTATGAAAATTCCACTGCAATGTTCTGGTGTGGTGACTGGGTGGATCTGCAAGGCGAGAGCTACTGCTGACACTTGGAAAGAGACTCTGATAGGACAAGAGTGCTGACTGAAGAATCACTAGATCATCCAGAACATAGCTGACCTTAAGCAGTTCTGTTTTTCTAAGACTTTATTTACTTTGTTCGCCATGTATCCAGGATATTCCTATTGTTTTAGTGTGTGGGAGTGGGAGAGTGATATTGCTATAGAAATAAGAATCTGTTTTGAATGTTCATTAATGTAGTCACATTTCCCTAGTCAAATACAAAATCTTTAACAGGATGAAGGACACTTGTAACTAGAAGTCTTTCTGTAAATTATTATGTCTGAAGTTATCTGACAGGCCCCCAACTGACAGTGGATGTCTGATTTAGAGAAAGTGCTAGGTTAGCCTTCAGGTAAGCACTGGGAGTTGGGAGGGAGGAGGAAGCTGTTACCTCCCTGCCTCTTCCAGGAAGGGTACAGAAATTTCTCTAGCTTGTGTCTCACAAAGTTGAATAAAAGCACTGAAGACACATTCATTTGCTAATTTCCACTCACATATTATCTAACAGGATAACATGAAAAAAAGACTGAAATAACATGGACAATGCCAGAATCATGAACAAGCTGTTCATTCTGATGTAGATGCTCCTGTGTTGGTCTGTAGCCCATGTGTAGGATTAAATAGGACTTTGCTTCTCAGTTCCAAATGCTATGGATTTATTTTCTAAAGAGGCCCTGGGCAGTAAGAATCAGAATGATGGTGATGACCCAAAATGTGATATTTCCCAACGTTTTTTTCCCCCCTTGGGATAGGAAACCCACAATATTATCACATGTTCAGTGCAAAATGAAAAACAGGAAGTCTCATGGAATGCTTGGAATCGAGATCTCCATGGGAATAGGGTAAGCACAGCCAAGCTCATTTACAAGTGCCGATTTCTGCTCTTTGTCAGTGCTTATGACCATAAGCTTGTGAGCCTGGGTGTACCGTGGATGGAACTGGGCTTGAGGGGTTCATCTCCTGAGCTTCCATGTTCTTTAGCAGAAATGTAGGTCTGTGGCTTAGGATCTGCACAATTATCACATCACATACATGGAGGAATCAAGCTCAACATATGGCTTCATTAGTATCCATGTTCTCTTTTTTTAAAAAATTTTTTTGTATTTAAGGAGAAAAAGAAAAAAAAACAGAAAAAGGGTACAAGTTATACAGAATTTCAGAAAAAATAAAGAGTAAGAAACCACTAGTTAATAGATAACATATTGTTATCTTAGAAATAGTTGTTCAAGTTACAAAATTAAAGCATATAAAGTGGACTTTCAAACAGTGAGACTGGAAACAGTTTTGTTCAATGATCCAACAAAACCCAGTAATATGGTTATCTATCTTATACAATTAAATATATATGTAGTTATATTCTTTAGAGCACTTTCTTTTCCTTTCTTTTGTACAATGACAATTACACATTTTGGGTTTTATTGCTTCCACAGTTCTTATTACTTTTTTTTTTGAAGAGAGTAAAACCAAATGTGACATAACAGAACAGAGTCAGTCAACTCAAAAGGATGGACATAATAGATAATGTAAAAACAAAATACTAGGTGATCAACAATGGTTACCATACTGCCTCTTGCTATCGTAAAAAGAATTGCCTATATCATCAGTTATGATAAGATTGAACAAAACAATAAAGAATAAAACCAAAACATTGGAGACATTACAGGACTTTAAAAGAAGATAATAGTCAACTGGAATGGGCATCATAATGAATCTTATTGTCTTTACAGTTATGCCTATACTTTTGAACTTGGTACTATCAAGCAAAACAGAATAGAGGAAAATCAGTCAAAACAAGATGGTGAGAGCAATACAGGGTTTCAAATCAAGTTAATAGGAAATCAAAGTGGGTTACTATAATGTATCCTGCTTTTTTTATTTTTCCCTTAGTTAAAAAGAAAAATAAAAAAGTAAATAATTTAAAAAAAGGAGACTTAGATAAAAGAGGGCATAACAACAAAACAGTGCAGGTCAAAACATAACCATTTAAGCAAAATAGTGTTTTACCACAAGATATCCTGACATAAAAGTAGTGACCATAGTGTCTCTTTCCTTGAAATCTTTGAGTATAACTTCATATACTGTAGCACCAAACATATCAAGACAATGTAAAACCATTTAAGAGAATGACAGTATTACAGGGTATTTAGAACCACCTATCAGAAAATGAACAATAGTTTCTGTATAATCTCCTTGTCTATAAAAGTTTTTGCTTATATTATCACATATAATAAAATCCAATAAGATACAACCTGCTAAGACCAGTGGAGACAGAAGAATAAAAGCTTGATGGGACTTCAAAGCAAGATGATACTAAATCAGTACTAGCTATTATGATGTCTTGTTTTCTCCAAAATAGCTGTTCCAACCATCCAATCTTCTCTGCCTCATTTCTGTTGAGCTCTTTTTCTGTTGTTTGTTGTCAGTTTGTCTTCTTCATTTCACTTTCTGCTCCATTCATTGTGGCCTCTCTGCCACTGTTTCTGAAATCTTGGTATTTTCCTTTTTTAGAATATCCTGCAGTATTTTCTGTAGAGTTGAATTGCTGGTTGCAAATTTCCCTAGTTTCTCTTTATCCTGGAAGCAACTTGTTTTTCCGTCAATTTCTAGGGACAGTTGTGCAGGATATATCAATCTTGGCTGGAGGTTATTATCTTTCAAAGCTTGAATTATTTCCCCCCACGCTCTTTGTGATTTGATGGTTTGTGCTGAGAAGTCTGCTGTAATTCTGATGGGTGTTCCCTTGTAAGTGATCTGTTTCTTGTCTCTGACTGCTTTTAGTATTCTGTTCTTATATTGGATTTCTGGAATTTTGATTATTATATACCTGGGTGTAGCTCTGTTTGTGTTGTAGGTGGCTGGGGTCCTGTATGCCTCATACATCTGAGTATCTTTATCTTTTCCTAAATTAGGGATATTCTGTTGGATTGTTTCTGTGAATAGCTTTTGTAGTCCATTTATTTGAGTCCCTACTTCTTCTTTTATGTTCTTAATTCTTAAGTTATAGATCCTCTTATCATCTTCTAGCCTTTGTAATATTGCTGTTTGTTTTTTTGTTATTTTTAAGAAGTTTTTCATTTCATGCTCCCAAATTACAAATCTGCCCTCCAATTCAGATAATCTATCCTTAGTTTCTTTCAAGCTGTTATGCCAGCTTTCGATAGAGTTTTTAGTTTCCTGGCAATCTCTTTCAACCTGCTTCACATATTCTATGTTTTCTCTATTTTCTCCATCAAACAATTCTCCCCTTTTTTCTGTTCTTCCATTCCACTGTCTGTTTTTTTCTTGGGTGGTGCTTAGCATTTCTCTAACTATTCTACTTGTATCTTGCTTCAGGTCGTTAATAACTTCATTCCTGAACTTGTCTATGAGGCTCTGGAGATAGCGCTTTATGTCTATTGGTGCCATGTCTGATATTGCATGTTTCTCAGGATTGAGGGCCGAGGACCCTTTCTTGTTGCTTCCTCTTCCCATACTTTTTGTTCCTTCCATACAAGCAAATGTAGGAGGCCCAATTTTTTTCTCTTTTTTGGTTACAGTTTGTTTGAATTGCGCTGGCTAGGTGTTCCCACCCACTGCAGTGTACTAGGGAGACAGAGACCTCTGCAGCTTATGCTGGGCCCGCCCCTCCAGGTCAACCTACCAAATTCTTCACTGCTAGGGTGCACCTCCAGGAGCTGGGACCTGGTTTGGGCTAGCCTACTGGGTCTTAGTCAGCGGCCGTCACCCAGGCCAGGCACTCCCCACCAATCCCGCTTGAGAGGGGAATATGCTACTAATGTCACTGCAGCGCCCTGTTCTGGCAAGTCTGCCCATCCCAGTATATTCTTTGCTGGAGCCTCCTACTCTATGAAAGGGTCCCCATTCTGCTTACTCACTGCAAGTCGATGTAGGGCTTCCTGTTAGTCCCATTCTCAACTCTGTTCACAGATTCCTGCTCTCAGAGCTTTTGCGTGTCTCTCTCCCTGCCCTGCAGATTTGGACACAGCAACGGCAGCAGGAAATTCAAATTGTGGCTTCCAGTGGCATGCGTTCTAGCTTCTGCACTGAGATTTTATCTGTTCCTGTTATAGCACCAGGATTGGATTTCCAGTTGGTTTCTCTTAGCTTAGTTCATTCCTGGGTCAGCAGGGTGTATCTCCCCTTGCTTAGGACTCCTCATATCGCACCATCCCTGGATTTTAAGCGGGGTATCTCAGAGAGCCTCCGTAGCTGCTGCTATCTATCCGCCATGTTCTTCTGGAAGTCTCTATCCATGTTCTCTTGACTGGCGTGATCCATTGCTTAAAGGACATCAGGAAGCTAAGAATCAGCATTCTGCATATTAAACTCTGCCAGCAGGGACTGTGGATCTACTCCTGCTTCAACCCCTGCAGAAACTAAAGTGGTCAACATTTGAGAAATGGTATTTAAGTTGTGTGACATGGCATAGTCAGAGGGCTGAAATGGGTGTAGCTTAGAAAGAACCTCTGATCCTTTCCCAGCCATCTGCAGGGAATGCTCACTCACTCTGAACCAGATGCACCCCTGAATTACAGACTGACACTTTGTGTAACTGCAGAAATCCAAGTGGTAGGGCAGCTTACACTTGGCATCCAACCTCTCTATTTCCTAACAGTTCAGAGTTAACTGGATGTGATGGAAAAGAAATGATGGAACTAAAAATGTTGAGGATCATTGAAAGGTTTCCTATCTCTTCTGTTCCAGCTTTTTATTTGATCAGTACTTCCAACGAAGGATGCAGACAAAGGAATGGAATGGTGAGAAGATGTTTCACAAAGGAAGCAGTGCCAGGACATGAGTGGTGGTGCTGATTATGTTAAAAGCTACACTGTGCCATTCTTTGTCTTTGAGTCAGTAGATTTTTGATCTCCATCTTCTCCATAAGAGTTACTGTACTGAGCTGAGTAAAATAATAAGTCCTGCTTTTCTCTATTGGGCTGTTAAGTGTCTGACATGGCAATAGATTCAGTTTCTTTAGCTTGACTCTCTAGGGCATGAGGCTTGTTTAGTGACCTTTTCCTCATAGCTTTCTAACGCTTTATTTTTTTTTTGTCTTTTTCTTTTTTATCAGTACCAGGGATCGAACTCACACCTGCCTGCTTGCAAGGCAGGTGCTTATGCTGCTGAGCTAAAACCCCAACCCATAATGCTTTATTTTTATTTAAAGAGAAAAAAAAAGATAAAAAGGGTACAAATAAAAAGAATTTCAGAAAAATAAACAGTAAGAAATCCCTAGTGATAAATTACATATTTTTATCTTAGAAATAGTTGTTCAAGTTACAAAATTAAAGCATACGAAGTGACATTCAAATAATGACACTGCAAACAGTTCTGCTCAATGATCCAACAAAAACTTAGTAATATGGTTATCAGTCCTACACACTTGTTTTTTATCTTAAAGAGGATAAGATTAAATATGTCAAAACAGAACAAAACAGTTCATAAGGAAACAATTTAAAGAAACACAGATTTCTAAGCAAGTCCACTGGAGATCTTCACTATCTATATTATTGTCTCTAGTTTTCTTCCAAATAGTTGTCCCCATCTTCACACACATTGAATATATACTGAACATTATAGAACTTATCAAATTATTACAAGATCATGAAGGCTTTTTAAGTCTTCAAGATCTGATTTTGGGAAGTCAATAATGGCTACCATAATGTCTCTCATTCTCTTCAAAATAGCTGTGTTAATCTTTATGTATGCTGAAATTGAACATAAGAGACTAGACTAATATCACTCTGAGCAGTGAATAATTGTATTGCTAGATTTTATATTATAATGCTACAGAATTAGCATTGGGTTTCTTAATGTCTCCTCTTCTTCAGAGTATCTGTTCATTACATCGTGTATTGTATAATCTGTTCCCATAAACAGTTTAGAAATTTTTTGCATGTGTGAATCTCTACACGTATAGCTATCCTTTCTGTATTTTAGGGAAAAATGGATCAAAATAAGACAACAAAACAAATTCCTAGAAAACCATGAAATGACAAAGAATATAAGACCACAATATTAGGTAATCTATAGTAGTTACTATGCTTTTTCTTGTTATTTTCAATAGAATTGTCCACATCATCAGGCATTATATAGTTAAGCATAGCATTACATAGCTATTTTTATAAAAACACATCTTGGAGACATTGTAGGACTTGAAAGCAGTTAATAATCAAAACTGGAATGGATATCTTTTACATCTTGTCATCTTCAGAGTAGTTGTCTGTACTCTTAGACTTGATACTATCAAGCATACCAAATTCAAATAAAATCAGTCAAGGCAAAATAGTGGTCTAGCAAACCAGCTTCAAATAAGATCAGTCATAGTAAGACAATGTAAGTAATACAGGGTTTCAGTTTAAGTTAATAGGAAATTAAGGATAGTTACTGTGGTATAACTTGTTATTTTTGGGTTAGCTGTCTGTGTCCTCAAATCCCATATGAGTAGACAGACCGGAACAAAATATAATCAAACTAAGCAGAGCTATGAGACTACGGTGGCTTTTAAATTCTGATACACTTATAACAATGTACTCTGCTTTCCTTTTTTAGGCAATTCCTCACCTTTCCCCTTCTCAGGATGCTTTGTATATTTTGGGTCCCACTAGCTCCTATAGTTTTTAGACTAGGGGATCAATCTGTTATCTATCTAAGTGTTGCTGAACCATTTTACCCCTGAGCTTGATCTTGAGCTGTACTCCTTTACTCACTAAAGCCACAAAGGTTTTCCTTCCTTCCAGCTGTATAGTTCTACACTGCACATAAGTGTCATAGCTTTCCAACCTATCTGCAGCTGCTGGACAAGTTGTCCCTATTTCTCTCTGGTTTCCTGTTACATATAGCTTTGCTTTTTCATCTTTGACTTTCAGTTTATTAACCCTCTTTCAGGTTGAGTGTATTTCCTATTCAGAGCCTCTCTGTGGATCCTGCCTCCTAATCTACTCTGCCTGTGTTTCTTTTTTGTTAGTGTATCAAGGCGATCTATATTAAAAATTATAGCTTACCATCTCTGCCTCATCTCTGCTATTCTGTTCTTCTGCTATTATTTGTCCACTTTACTCCTTCATTCCACTGTTTGCCCTGTTCATTGAGGCCTCTCTGCCACTGTTGCTGGAATCTTGGTATTTTTTTCCTCTCTCTCTCTCTGGAATGTCCTTCAGTATTTTTTTTAGGGTTGGGTTGGTGGCCATGAACTCCCATAGTTCCTCCTTGTCTTGGAAATATCTTGTTTCTCCATTAATTTTGAGAGTTTTTCTGGGTACATCAGCCTTGGTTGGAAGTTTTTCTTTCAAGGCTTGGATTATTTCCCCCCAGGCTCTTCTCTATTTGAGAGTTTGTGTTGATAAATCTGTCGTTATTTTGATGATTTGTCCTTTGTAGGTGATCTGCTTCTTTTCTCTGACCACTTTTAATATTCTGTTCTTGTGGTGGATTTCTGGAACCTTGATTATTATATGTCTGGGTGTAGATCTGTTTTGGTCATAGGTGGCTGAAGTTCTGTATGCCTCATTTATCTGGATACCATTTCTTTTTCCTATGCTTGGGAAGTTTTCCTTAATTATATCTGTGAACATTCTTTGTAGTTCATTTGTGATTACTCCTGCTTCTTTGTTTATATTTTTTATTCTTACGTTATAAGTCCTCTTGTCATCTTCTAGCCTTTGAATTGTTTCTTCTTGGTTCCTTGTTATTTTTAAGAGATCTTTTCTTTCACAGTCATACATCATAAATCTCTCTTCAAGTTTTGAAAGGCTAACTTTAGTTTCTGTCAAGGCATTTTTCCAACTTTCAATGGAGTTTTTAGCTTCCTGGTAACCTCTTTGGTTGCATGTATTCTAGATTTGGTTTATATTCTTCATAAAAGGTTTCTCTTCCTTTTTGGAGTTCCTCCGTTCTTCCATCTGTGTTCTCTTGGGAGGGGCTTATCATTCCTTTAATTAATCTTTTTATATCTTGCCTCACTTGGATCAGGAGTACAATTTTAAATTCGTCTATGAGGTCACAAAGGTATTTCTTTATGTCCGCTGATGCTGTGTCTAATATTGCATAATTACTGCACTGGTTCTCTTCTGTACTCAGTACTCACTGAGAGCCAATAACGCCTTCCCCCTTTGCTCCACTTTAGACTGTGCCGCGTCTTCCCATCAAGGGCCCAGGACTCATTGACTCCCGTTATCTGCAGCTGTGGCTTCAGCAGGACTTTGGATTGTCTGACTACAGGGCACACCCAGCACAGCCCAGAATGGGTCACGGAATGGGTCTCAGTGAGCGTATTGGGCTACAGCCCTCCACCCGCGCTTTTCCTTCCTCTTCCTACTTTTATTTTTCCCTTCGGTTTCCTCCTGGCTTAATAAAAATCATCCTCCAATCATCTGGCCCTCTTCATGCTGTCAAATTCTAGCATCTGACCTGCCTTCCCCACAGAGGCTCTTGATCCAGCTCTCTATCAAGCCACCATTTTCTCCTCTCCCAGTTTTCTAATTCTTCATGTGCTAGATGTGTTAGACTCATCCCACATCCCCTGAGAGAGCCTTGGCTGGTATAACTGAGTCTAAAAAGCTCCCATTTCTGAACAGGGCTCTCCAGAGGTGGTGCAGAGGACATGGAGGAAATGTAGGACACATCACAGTGCTATGGACATAGATAGTTTGTCTCATGGAGGTTCAAGTGAACCTAGCATCCTTATCTTTTTTTTTTTCAAAATCCATTTTGTTCAAGGACTAAAAGGAAAAACTACAACAAAATGTCAAGACACATCAATCAGGGGCAACAATGGTACATACATTGCACATTGTCATCCCCACATGAATCACCCAGAGCATAAGACACCTGAATTTATTTGTCCTGATGTGCCCTCACTTCTGAGGATCAACAGTGAAATTGTCACTTGGTTGAATGAGCTGCTCAGCTGGGGAGCAGAAATCTTCAGTCTTGAATAAACAAATTATAGTGTGGCTGAGTGAATCAAGAATCAGTTCAAGACAGCCGATACCTTTCAGGCATATCTGGAAGCCACATGGCACAGTATATTCAGGCCGGTTTGGTACTCATGAGAGTGCTCATTAACCAGAGTGGAAATCTGGGTGGATTCTAAGGAAATGAAATCTTTGAGATAATTGTGGAACAAGAATGAACTTGTGTCTAAACATTTTCCACATCTTGACAATATGAAATCCTGAGGAGAAATTACCTGAAGGAAGTCTGAGTTCTTCTAGAAATAAATGAATTTAAAAATACCACTCCAAGTAGAAGGTGGATAGAGGGAAATAACCCTGCTTAGTATTTCTTTAGATGGTTTTAATGTTTTAGTTGGCAGAGATGTCCCTGTCTTCCAAACCCAAGACTCAGTGGACCTAGCCAGAAAGATAGGGGTTTTCATTCACTGAGCACCAGGTCTCATGCCATGTCAGGAAGGGCCTCAGGTCCTCCTTTCCTGGTGGTCACTTCTGAGGGGCTGTGGGAGATGGGTCTGGGTTGGATCCACATTCACCCTTTGGGTCTGTGTGGCCTTTGTCTAGGACTTTCAGGAGCTGACAGTGGACTGCACATTCATTGTCTGCAGGTTAAGGGTTTAGAAACAACTGTTTGAAGGAGGGGCTTCCATGTGAGGCCTCTCCATGCTCTTAAACCACTCGCTCCTCTACAAGGCCCTGAATAAGGAGGTCAAGATTTGTGATAGGTGCTAAGATCCCATGTGTGTTGGGGATCAACACCTGTGAAAATCATGAGGGGGCAGATTGGGAAGACAGGGTTGTCTGGCCATATAATTGTCTGCTGGAGCCTTGGCCTCCCCCTCGGTGAGTTTTGAGGCTTTAGTGTCCCCATCAGGCTCATATACTTGGAGCATTATGCTCCAACGTTACAGTCAGCCCACACATTATTCTGTTTAGGATCCATGACTTTCTGTGTTCCATGCCTGGTCTGTGTCTATAAGAGAAAATGCATTGTTAGGTGGCTGAATTGTAACCTCTGAATACTTCAACTTCTGAATACAGCTAGACTTGGACAAGACCTACAGAATCCCTCAGGAAAAGTGAAGCTGAATGTGATCACAGGTGACACAGAAACAGTCATGGCACTAGGGATGGTTTCTTTCTGCAGAAATTTCATTTCCCTTGGTTGTCATTTAGCTGTTGGAACACTGGTCATGAGGGAGAGAGTCTTCCAGTGAAAGACACCTTAGTGGTGGTCACACACAGTGTTGTCCTGCTGGGCCCACTGTAATCCAGTGGTGAGGTTTCTTACCATTTTTGCCTTTGGTGAAGGTGAAGTTGTCCATTGAGTCCTGCAGGCAGGATCATGATGAAATATGGCATTTGTGTCAAGTTCTCAGGTTTTGAGCTATCGTTGCATGGATTTCTAGTGTGTAAGCACAGTGAGACATCTTTGTAAAATGCAGTTTAGCTTCCTGATCATAGACTAGAAGGATCATGGTCCATTCATCTTCTGGTAACACTCATGGGAATGAGGGATTCCCAGTTTATTCCTTGTGGAGACTTATTCATACCTCCTGTGCTCTGTATTCTGAAGAGGTAAATAGTGCAAAGTGTGGCTCACCCTGCTGGACATAGGAATGACCTGTTATGCCAATATATGTGGAAGGTGACTCATATGGATGCTCCCCTATGAAGCCTAGAGGTAGGGACAAAGATAGCAGTCATGCTGTGTATACCTCAGGCTACCCGAGAAGGAATTTGCACATTTGCCTCAGACACCACACAGTGACAGTCAGATGCTGATTAGCCACCTGTCTCATTCACTATTTCAAGCAGTCATCACCAGGGAGCAATCAAGCCAGTTTTGGGAGACACCCCCCACCTGCCTCATGGAACAGCATCTTGTGCAAAATTCTGGGAATTCTTGCTGCATATGTTTCTCTGCATCCCATGGAGTTGGAACAGGACAAAGTATCTGACATTTAAGTACAGCATTAGATTCAGTTACCCACAGGCATTTCTAGGACACACCTGCAGTGCGTGACCCTAGAGCATCTGTACTAGCCCCACCAGTGGTGTGCTTTCATGAATGGCTCCTTCTGCATCTAGGGAGTCCAGAAAGCAAATGATCTGGCCATGCACAATTTAATGTCCCACAGGAGCTTGGCACAGTTGGAAGAGAGCTCCTTATCTGTGATGACACTGATTTCTAGCAAGAACCACTGAAGGAATAAGTTTGGGTGCCTCTAACTATGCACAGTTCCCTGACCCAAAACTAGTCCCTGATCTGCCTGGACATCTCCTGCAACCTACTCTAACATCTGCTGGAGTCCAGACAAGTGCAGAATAGAACCCAAGTGTCTTGAGTTCAGTTATAGTGGTCCTCCCTGACACAGCCTTCCAGAGTCAGGAGAATAAGGGTTGATCAGGAAAAAGATCCACAGGAGTCCTGGAATTCCATCTGGAGAAGATGTACCTGATCATCACTTTTTGTCTGAAGGCAGGAGGAACAAGCCAGGAAGTGTCAGCAGCACATGGAAGGCTGGAAGCCAGGACAGATGTCCAGCAGCTGGGTTTCTTTTATAGCAGAGTATGGAGCACAGATCCAGAAGCAAGGAGAGTGTCATTGTCAGTCCAGGGAGATTTCTCACAGGGTTTCACAGTGTGTTGGGTAGAGATGCTCTTTTATGTACATGATGGTGACCAGAAGCCAGGGGCCCTGGCAGTGTTCCATTATAGCAGAGGTCAGAGTGACAATTCGAAAAGCATGATCCCCATTCTTCAAGGGCTGCAGGCAAGAAATGGAGATAAAGGAGCAGACAATTCTCATAGTCACCACAGAGGTGACTATAAGGAGTAGAGATGCAGCTTGAGGTCCAGCCCCTGGAAGACTTTCCTTAAATCAGGATGGGCCATCTCGGATGGTCAGTTAAGACCTTACTGCTCTAGGCACAGCACTACCCTGCAGGGGAAATGGAATGTTGCCTGCAGAAAGGAAAACCATAGTGCTTCCCACTTCCCTCACAATCCCTGTTTGTCCAAAGGGAACCAAGGTGTTGTTGATCCAAGTGTGTTTCTCTAGGGAGAGCTCTCCTGCGGCCCACATGCCACCCCCTGTCACTACAGGATGCTGCAGTGGCACTTCCCCTGCCTTTCTCTGGCCCTTGGTGCAATTCTAGCCAAGGAAGTCGAGAGCCCCCAGGGCAGGAACTGCTGCCCACTATCTGAGCAACTGATATGGAGAAGCAGAAGGTTCCAGGGCAGGAACCTCCCTTCCTATGTGGGGAGCCCAGAGTAGGCTTAGAGCACACACAGTCTCAGCCTGCTAGGGGGCATCTCCTCCTTGTGTACTACGATTTTGTTTGTAAGGAAGCCTTGAAGCCCTTTGCAAAGGCAAGACTAAATATTAGTTGAAGTCCAGCCAGGGTCCTTTATAGGTACCTTCGGCCTCCCTGACACACCTGGGCTTACCTCCTGTCCATTGCTCTGAGCATGCATAGACAAATCTAGTGACCACAACAAACTGGTCTCCTGGGCATTTGGACTCAGTACAGTGGTCCTTTACCTTGAAACAGTTTTTCCCAGATCTCTGTGCCTGGTTTTTCCCTGAATTCTTGGCAAATCGCCCACTGTCCTTGCACATGACCACTGATGCTTGTTGGCATTTAAGACAAGTGTCTTCCCCGAACAACTGTCAAGGGACCTGCCTTGTCATTCACACTCTTCAACCTCAAAATGAGATGAAGTTTTTTTCCAGGCTGACTTAATGCTTAGTGTTTTCCATTCCCTAATTTCCTAATGGGAATATGCATTGACTGATGTGACCCACCTCCCAGAAAAGGGTGGATTTCATCTGGTATTTTAATGTTGTCTTGAGTCAAATGTATTTTTCTTGCATCTTTCAGGAAATGCTTCTCCCAAATCTTCAGGTATGTTGTAGGTTTATTTCTGCATGAAGGCACAAAGTGAGGTGAGGATAATACCAGCACGTGATGGCCGGGTCCTTCCCTGAATTGTAGGAACCTGTAATGGGCCTAGGCTCCTGCTGACATTCTCAGGATGAGTTTAGCTCATCTTGTAGTTTTCTCTCAGTTATAAAAGTTAAGATGCCATTCAAAGAAAAAGATGCTACCTCACAGTAGTGGCCCTTGCTGGTCGAGTGCCTCTGGACTAGAACTGTGATCCAATATTGAGCCCTGTGTATAGCCTGGAGTTGTCTCCAGGTTGTATCAAATGTCAGCAGGGTTAATTTTCTGTCCCAGGTCCATTGTTGCCTAAAATGCGGAACTGGACCTGTAGCTCTAGCTAACATTCTGTGGGGAGTGTCACTGATAATGTGCAACCTGACAGGGATACTTAGCCTGGTTCTGCAAGATCCTGTGACCACAGACTCTGCATCTAGTGTCTGGATTCAGTCTTGGGCTCTGTAAGTACATGGGTTCCAGACAGTGGGAATTTGAGCAGGAGCAGACTATGAATGCATAAGACCCCTTGGATCATTCTTTTGTGAGTCAGTTCACAGCGGCATTTCTTAAATATGTTGAATGTACTGTCCTGCTCCATTGGGCCACATCAGTTATGGTTGTGTCACTTTCTACTCCCCCCATTGTAGTTGTAAATCTTCACAGGTTTTATTAGGGGCCCTGTGCAGCAGGGATAGAGGACACAATCCCATGTGTGACTGGCATAGATCACACTATGTCCTTAGTGCTGGGAATTTATATTAGAAGCTTCTGAGACAAAGTAAGCAAAGAATATTTTGAGTAAATTTTTAATGGACAGAAATAGCAGTTTGTGTACTAGCTAATATCAAGGATTTTGAGGAAAGTCATAGGAATCTCTGTCTTGAATCGAATTTGATATTTTCAAATTGGGCAGGAAGTTTCTCCAGCATCCAGAGTCTCCCATCTCTGATCCTGGTTGCTATTCACACATTCACAATCTAAATGATGTAACAGCCTCTAAATATGCCTAAATGTACATTGAGCTAATTAATTACAAATCTGTGGCTAAAATTGTCAATAGGAGGTGCTAATGGGCTGCAAATCTCTTGCAAGTTACTGTTGACATGTAGCTGCCTTCCTTGAGGCCAAGACATTTTTCTCAAAACTCATAGTCATCCAGCAAATATCTGGATCAATGTCTCTAAAGATGCTATTTCAATACATTGTCTGCAAAGACAAGCTGAAAGTCCTTAAGGCTAGCAGAAACTTCATCCTATCCAAGTTTATGGCCTCATGTGTTGCTGTAGCAATTCGGGTGACTGGGCGGTATATAACATAGGCCATACTAAGAAGACAAATATTGTATGGTGACTTTCTCAGACAAAATAAAAAGGAGAATGACTCCTAGATGCTGAAATAATCCAGAATTTTGAGCTGAGTTCATCAGGAACATAGTGGAATGAGGAGCATGCTGCTGAAGCCATTATTAAAAGTTTGTGCTAAATGATATCCTGCCCATGGTGGCAATGGTTTTGATTTCCACCACTGGTTCTCATTTCCCCACTCAGTCAGGTCAGATTATGAATCCAGTGAGGGTGCCAGCAAGTCTGCAGGTAGAATAGAGTGATCAAAAACCATCATGAATTTTTTTTTTAAAAGGACAGGTTGACTTTGCAGGATCAGAAGCCTCAAGATATAGGTGGTGTATGATTAAGATTGCTGAAGACAGCCAATACTATTTTTTTATGAGCCTGCCTTTCCACTGCATGACCATGCAGATCCCCTGGCTCCATGGAGAAGCCATGCATTCTCAGAGGAATCAGCTTGTGAGCCTTCCTGTTTTTCTGACTGTCTTCTTGGCAGACAAGGAGCAGATGTGGAGATCCAAATCCCTGAAGTTATGTCTGCAAACTTTAGTCCCAAAGCAGCCCCATGACTTTTTTGGAATCACAAGTGCAAGTACCATGTCCTGCATGTCCTATAAGCCCTCACTTGGTGTTTATACCAGCAGACACTACCCCACAGTGCCCAAGATTGTTGGTCATCTTGATTCTGAGATCTTCCTAGTCATGAAGAAGCAAGGCATGGCAAGGTTGTACACCATCAAGATCCTAAATTGTGACCTGAATGCAGTGACTTGCTTCTTGCTGTTACCCTGTAGATCTGATTCCTCTCACCCACTATTGTCAATCATGAGAAATGAGTCAAATGACACATTCAAATGACACATTCCCATATCAGCTCTCGAATGTAGTTATAGATGCCTTCACTGTTTCCAGCTGTCATTTTGGGGAATATGAAACATCCCCAATTCCTTTGTTTTCCATGAGCCAAATATTTTGTCTATGAAATTGTCAAAAAAATGTTTGCACTGTAGAGCAGACAACTTCCCAGAGCAGTGCACATTGAGATGAATGGTCTTTGTTGGCACTGAACTTCCCATCACTAACTTGTGTGGTTGTGTGACTCCTCAAATCACATAGATCCTGTAGAAATGGTGATTTGCCATTAGTTTAGACTATAACCGTTCTAAGTTGGAGAGAAGAGGGCTGCAGTTGTCAGGTCAAAGCACTCCAAAGAGATAAACAAGACCTTGGGGAGAACATGGCAGATAGATAACAGCAGCTATGGAGGCTCTCTGAGATAGCCAGCTTAGAATCCAGGAATGGTGCCGTGTGAGGACTCCTAAGCAAGGGGAGATATACCCTGCTGACCCAGGAACAAACTAAGCTGAGAGAAACCAAATGGAAATGCAATCCTGGTGCTATAACCAGAACAGATAAAATCTCAGTGCCAAAGCTGGAAGCTGCACCTCTGGAAACCGTGATTTGAATTTCTTGCTGCTGCTGTTTCAACTGAATCGGCACAATAGGGACAGAGATGCGAAAACTCGAAGAGTGGGAATTGGCGAACAGAGTTGAGAGCGGGACTGGTGAGTGCTCGACCTGTGGTGAGTGAGAGGAACGGAGACCCTTCCATAGACTAGGAGGCTCCAACAGAGGACATTCTGGGATGGGGCAGAATAGCCGAAACAGGGCGCTGCAGTGACTTCAGTCACATATTCCCCTCTCAAGCAGGATTGGTGGAGAGTGCTTGGCCTGGGTGACGCCGCATACTACGACCCCGTAGGCTAGCCCAAACCAGGTCCCAGCACCTAGTGGTGCACCCTAGCAGTGAAACCTTCAGTAGGTTGACCTGAAGGGGTGGGCCCAGCATATGCTGTGGAGGGCTGTGTCTCCCTAGTACACTGCAGTGGGCAGGAACACCTAACTGGTGGATTCAAACAAACTGTAACCCACAAAGAAAGAAACTGGGCCTTCTATATATGCCTGTATGGAAGGAACAAAAAATATGAGAAGAGGAGGAAACAAGAAAGGGTCTTCGGCCCCCAATCCTGAGAACACTGATCTAGGAAAGGTAAATGCAAAGGAGAATGAGGACAGAAAACATGCAATATCAGACCCGGCACCAATAGACATAAAGTGATATCTCTGGAGCCTCATAGACGAGTTCAAAAGTGAAGTATTTAACAAAGTAAAGCAAGATATAAGTAGAATAGTTATAGAAATCCTAAGCACCGCCCAAGAAAAACCAGATGGTGGAATGGAGGAACAGAAAAAAAGGAGAGAATCGTTTGATGGAGAAAACAGAGAAAAAAGAATACGCGAAGCAGGTTCAAAGAGATTACCAGAAAACTAAAAAGTCTATTGAAAGTTGGCCCAACAGCTTGAAAGAAACTAAGGATAGATTATCTGAATTGGAGGACAGATTTGTAATTTGGGAGCATGAAATGAAAAATTTCTTAAAAATAACAAGAAAACAAATAGCAATAATCCAAAGGCTTGAAGATGATAAGAGGATCTATAACTTAAGAATTAAGAACGTAAAAGAAGAAGTAGGGACACAAGTAAATGAACTACAAAAGCTATTCACAGAAATAATCCAGGAGAATTTCCCTAATTTAGTAAAAGGTAAAGATACTCAGATGTATGAGGCATACAGGACCCCAGCCACCTACAACCCAAACAGAGCTACACCCAGGCATATAATAATCAAAATTCCAGAAATCCAATATAAGAACAGAATATTAAAAGCCATCAGAGACAAGAAACAGATCACTTACAAGGGAACACCCATCAGAATTACAGCAGATTTCTCAGCACAAACCATCAAATCACAAAGAGCATGGGGGGAAATAATTCAAGCTTTGAAAGATAATAATCTCCAGCCAAGATTGATATATCCTGCAAAACTACCCCTAGAAATTGATGGAAAAACAAGGTGCTTCCAGGATAAAGAGGAACTAGGGGAATTTGCCACCACCAATTCAACTCTACAGAGAATACTGCAGAATACATTCTAAAACCAAAATACCAAGAAAAATACCAAGATTCCAGAAACAGTGGCAGAGAGGCCACAATGAATGGAGCAGAAAGCAAAATGAAGAAGACAAACTGACAACTAATGACAGAAAAAGAGCTCAACAGAAATGAGGCAGAGAAGGTTGGATGGTAGAAACAGCTATTTTGGAGAAAACAAGACATCATAACAGCTAGTTATGATTTAATATCATCTTGTTTTGAAGTCCCATCAAAGTTTTGTTCTTCTGTCTCCATTGGTCTTAACACGTTGTATCGTATTGGATTTGATTATATGTGACAATATAAACAAAAGCTTTTATAGACAAGGAGAATATACAGAAACCATTGTTCATTTTCTATTAGTTGATTCTAAATACCCTGTAATACTGTAATTTTCTTGAATGGTTTTACATTGTCTTGATATGTTTGATGCTACAGTATACGAAGTTATACTCAAAGATTTCAAGGAAAGAGACACTGTGGTAACTACTTTTATGTTGGGATATCTGTAGGTGAAACACTATTTTGCTTAAATGGTTATGTTTTGACCTGTGCTGTTTTGTTGTTACGTCCTTTTTTAATCTCAATCTCCTTTTTTATTATTTACTTTATCTTTTTAATTAAGGGAAAAATAAATAAAAAATAGCAGAATGTATTATAGTAACCCACTTTGATTTTCTATTAACTTGATTTGAAACCCTGTATTGCTGTCACCATCTTGTTTTGACTGATTTTCCTCTATTCTGTTTTGCTTGATAGTACCAAGTTTGAGAATATCGGCAACAACTGTGAAGACAATAAGATTCACTATGACGCCCATTCTGATTTGACTATTATCTTCTTTTGAAGTCCTGTAATGTCTCCAATGTTTTGGTTGTATTGGTTTTGTTTTGTTCAATTTTATTATAACTGATGATCTAGGCAATTCTTTTTAAGATACCAAGAGGCAGAATGGTAACCATTGTTGATCACCTTGTGTTTTGTTTTTACAGTATGTATTAGGTCTATCCTTTTGATTTGACTGACTCTGTTTTGTTATGTCACATTTGGTTTTATTCTCTTCAAAAAAAGTAATAAGAACTGTGGAAGTAATAAAACCCAAAATGTGTAATTGTCATTGTACAAAAGAGAGGAAAAGAAAGTGCTCTAAAGGATATAACTGCATGTATATTTAAATGTATAAGATAGATAACCATATTACTGAGTTTTGTTGGATCATTGAACAGAACTGTTTGCAGTCTCACTCTTTGAATGTCCACTTATATGATTTAATTATGTATACATGGGCACACACTAATGCAGTGAAGGCCCCTGAAAGTTGACTGACCTGGAGGGGAGAAGCCAACATAAGCTGCCCCTGCTTGCACCTCAATGATCAATAGCAAACTGGAGAGGGCAGAAATACCTAGGCAGTGCACTTCAGAAGAACCATAAGCAACAAGGAAAGGGCCTGGGACCTCCTCTATACACCTGTATGGAAGAAATAATTCAAGCAAAACATGACAAGAGAAAGAAATATGAAAAAGTATCCAGTCCCCAATCCTGAGAATATTGATCCAAGAGAGTTAAATACAAAAAGACTGAAGGCAGCAAACATGCATTATCATGCATGGCATCAGTGGACATGAAGAGTATCTTCAGGACCTCATAGACAAGCTCAAAAGTGAAATATTTAATCAAGTAAAGCAAGATATAAGTTTATTAATTTTTTTCTTTTTTACTTTGAAGGTAGTAAAATACAACAGAACAAGACAGAATAAAGCCAATTTAGACAGTGTACTGAAATTGGTATAGAACTTCACAGCAGATTATGGGATAACAGTAACAGGTACCACAGTATTCTTGTTATCTTCACAACAATTGTTCTTTCAATCATGCATAGCAAAATGAAATGAAATACAGAACATTATAGAACTTATCAAAACAGAATATTGAATAGAGCAATACCATTAATCAGAATAAAGCAAAACAGTGGTAAAAATATTTGCCTTCAAAGAGATGGCAGAAGGAAATCCCCCTTATTTGCTATATTGCACATGGTCAACCTCCTAAGAGATGCCCAGATCTCTGGCTCCCATTTGCTAATGGAGTGGGAGGAGAAGTGGGATGTTTGATTCAGCCCGTGTGCCAGTAGGTTCACTACCACTTAGAAAGAGGTGAGCTGGTTGCTTGGTTTCCCAGTGCTCTAAGATCCAATATGGCATGGATCTCAGGAGACGCTGTTGGTTCTCACCCTGGGGTGGCTACAGCCTGCCACACCACAGCCCCTTACCAGGGAGGTAAGCTGATTGCTTGGTTTCCCAGGGCCCTAAGTTCCAACATGGCGTGGATCTCAGGAGACACTGGTGGTTCTCCTTTTGGGGTGGCCACAACCATATAAGTGGATTAATAAAAGAAATGTTAACCACCTCTCAAGAAGACATAATAGACATAACAATGGAGGAACACAAAAGAGGAAAGAAATGTTTGATGAAGAATATAAAGAAAACCTAGAATACATGAAGCAGATTCAAAGAGATTACCAGGAAATTAAAAACTTCATTGAAACCTGGCAAAACTACTTGAAAGAAACTAATGATAGACTCTCAAAACTTGGCAGGTTTGCAATGTTAACCATGAAATGAAATATCTCTTAAAAATAACAAGGAAACAGGCAGTAGCCATACAAAGGCAAGAAGACCACAAGAGGATCTATAACTTAAGAATTAAAAATGTCAATGAAGAAACAGGGGTACATACAAAGGAAATACAAAGGCTATTCACAGAAATAACTAAGGAAAACTTCCCAAGCATAGGAAAAGGAAATGATAGTCATATGTATGAGGCATACAGAACTCCAGCCACCTACAACCAAAACAGAGCTACACCCAGACATATAATAATCAAGATCCCAGAAATTCAATAAAGAACAGAATACTAAAAGCCATCAGAGAAAAGAAGCAGATAATCTATAAAGGAAAATTCATCAAAATCACAGCAGACTTCTCAACACAGACCATCAAATCAAAAAGAGCTTGGAGTGAAGTATTCCAAACCCTGAAAGAAAATAACCTTTAGCCCAGATTGATGTTTCCTGAAAAACTGTCTCTAGAAATTAATGGATAAACAAGATGCTTCCAAGAGAAGAGGAAGTAGGGGAATTTGTGACCACCAATCCAACCCTACAGAGAATACTGATGGACATTCTAGAAAGAGAAAAAAGTACCAGGATTTCAGGAACAATGGCAGAGAGGTCTCAATAAATGGAGCAGAAAGTGGAATGAAAGAGAAAAGCAGACAACTAATGGCAGAAAAATAGAAAGAAATGAGGCAGAGAAGGTTGCTATAATCTCTTATATAGATGGCCTTGATGCACTAAAAAAAAAGAAAAGAAAAAAGAAACACAGGCATAGTAGATCAGGAGACAGGGTCCACCAAGGTGCTGTATATATATAATTAACCTGAAAAAGGGTTTACAGACCAAAAATCAAATATGAGAAAACAATGCTCTATGTGACAGGGAACCAGGGAGTAATAGGGGCAACTCAACCAGCACCTGCAGATAGGTTGGAAAGACAGGTTTTGTAGGTAAAGGAATACAACTTGAGATTAAGTCCAGGAAGGAGAATGTTCAGAAGCACTTTGGTAAATAGCAGGTTGCCCCCTCACTCTAAAAACTGAGGGATTTGGTGGGACCCCAAAATGCACAGTGCATCCTGTGGGAGTTAAAGGGGAGTAGTAATCTAAAAAAAAAGAAGGCAGAGGATATTGTTAATAGTGTATCAGGATTTAAAACCCACATTACTCACACCACTCTGTTTAGATAGATTATATTCTGTCCCAGTTTGCCTATTTGCGCTAGATCTGAGGGCCCCAGACAGCTATCCCCAAAATAGCAGAATATAGCACAGTAATCATCCTTAACTCACTATTAACTTAATCTGAAGCCCTGTGTAACTTATACTGTTTTACCATGACTGATCTTAGTTGAATCTGGTTTGTTAGATTGCTGTTTGGTATTGACGGATTTTATTCAAAACTGTTTTGATGATAGTATCAAGTCTGAGAGTATAGACAACTAGACTGAATATGACAAGATTCACTACGATACCATTCTGGTTTGATTATTACCTGCTTTTGAAGTTTTACACACTGTACAACGTTTTGTTTTTATTAACATTGTTATGTACTGCTATATTCAATTATACTATGCTTGATGATATAGACAATTCTATTGAAGATAACAATAGACAACACAGTTGGTAAAACACCTTGTACTGTAGTTTTATATGACTTTTTCATTCCATGTATTTGTAGGAATATGTTTTGTTTGTCTTGCTTTGTTTTGTTTCTCCCTCTAATACAGACAGGATAGAAATACATGTAGAGACTCATGCATGCGTAGAATCTATATGAGAACTGATTTTATAATGCATGAAGAAATGAACTACATTGAAGAAAAAGAGACACTACAGTACCCAGTGCTTATCCTGAAGTGTCATGATGTGAAATCCAGCAATACTATTATTCTTTGCTCAGAGTGATTTTAGCCTGCCTTGGTTTGTTTAATCTTAACATACATGAAGATATGGACAACTGCATGTATGTTTAAGTGTATAAGATTGTTAACCATATTAGTAAGTTTTTGTTTTATAGTTGAAGAGAACTGTTTGCAGCCTCACTGTTTGAATGTCTACTTTGTATGCTTCACTTTCATAACTTGAACAACTATTTGTAAGAGGACAATATGTAATTATCAACTAGTGATTTCTATTTATTTTTTCTTTGAAATTATGTATTATTTCTACCCTTTTTCTGTTTTATTCTTCCTTTAAATAAAATTAAAATTAAAATTAAAAAATTGTAGAAAAAAATTTATGTCTGTTACATTGCTTTCTTATGTTCTGTTTTGTTGTGTTTAATTTTATCTTCTTTAAAATAAAATAAAATCAGAAATTTTGTTCCTAAAAATCATTGAACTCATTATTACTGGCATAAAATCCCACTGCCAGATGAAAAGGCATACTTATTAGCATAGTAAATATTTATTATGCATATTAGAAATTCAAATTACAATCATGGAATTTATTAAATATGTATC